CCAGATGTTTGTACCCCCCATAATTTCCTGAAATAAAAAATAAAATAGCCTCCTTTCTTTTCTAAAATAAGATTAAGAAAGACAACTGCTAGTGGCAATGACAAAGTGAAAAGTCTGGCTTCACAAGGTCATTTCATAAATGATTTCAGTTTCTATTTAACAACATTGTATGTTTAAAGCAATCAGTTGCAGTTTTCTTTCAAACTTTATTACAGTTAATAGTAGAAAAAATGTGGGAATAATTATAGAACTGCATAATTTCTACATTTGGTGTCTTGTTGTCTCGTTATTTCTTGACCATCATACTTGAAAGTGAATTTCAACACTGAAAAATCTTACACAATTTCACAAATAAGAAAATAAAATTTTCCCTGTGTCTAAACCTGCCCTTTAGATCCTGTCGCATTTTCTTCCTTAGAAACCAGAGTCCACGTACTGGTAATTATAGCAGCAACTTCTAGGTTAATAACCTTCCCTTGGGAGCCATAACCATCTGAGGGAATAGTTACATCCTTAGTTCCCATAAGGCAGAGAATGGCAGAGTCCTGAGCTTACATCATAAATATTACTATTTTCTTTTTAAAAATGTAGAAAATGTGCATTCTAAAGAATTCTGCATATCACCATTTGTGATAGCATGAATGTAGAAAATTACTAAGCCATTAAAACATCTATGGGTAACCTCTCTCTTGGGAATCAATATATAATGTACTTTTTGTGATAATAGTACCTTTTATTTTTATGATGCTTTGCAATATACAAGGCACTGTGTATATAGCATTTTCATATACTTGACCTCATTTGATCCTGAATTCCTCTACTTAATAACATAATAGGTGTTTGGTTAGTGTTTGTTGAATGAATACCCCATGAGGTGACTAGAACAACTTCATTCATAGATGAAGAATCAGGTAAAAAATAAAGTATCTTTCATCAAGAGCTAGTTTGCAGACTAGTGTTAATCCTTAAGTGCTTATTACTATGTGACAAAATGAAAAAAAGGATAATTTTAGCATGCATGTAGTTTCCAACTGACCTTTCTTGGGAAGGATTCTTTTACTCTGAGAGTATCTTCTTTTTTAGGGAACATTCAAATACTTTTTATTTTATAAAAAATAGTGACAATAAATTTATGGTGGGGTTTTAATAACATCCACTTTGTAAAGAAAATTTTTGACAGCTTCATGTAGGTCTCCCAAATTGTTTTTGAAATTGTAGTAGTCTGGAAAGTTCAAATGACTATGAATAGCCACTGTACCCCACTAAGCTTTTTTCCCATAGGAAAATTAAAATTTGGGGGCTGTTTACCAAAAACAGCAATAACATTACTACAAAACAGTAACCACAATTACCTTTTCTTGAGTGCTGCAGTGGTTTGAACATGTCCCCCGAAAAGCTCCCGTTGGAAACTTAATCCCCCGTGCAACAGCGTTGCAAAATGTGGGCGGTGTGGGTCATGAGGGCCCCACCCTCATGCATGGATTCATGCCCCTGCGAAGGCTTGAAGCTGCAGGGTCTCCTGCTCTCTTCCTCACCCTGTCTTGCCCTTCTTCCTCTGCCATGGGGTGATGCAGCATGAAGCTCATTGCCAGATGCTGGCCCCTTGATGTCGGACTTCCCACCCAGTCTTTAGAACTGTAAGAAATAAATCTCTATTCCTTATAAATTACCCAGTCTCAGGTATTCTGTTATAGCAGCACAAAACAAAGTACCTACTACTATCTTAAGCTT